AGAATTTCTAACAGTGACCTGTAGTTTTCTTGTTAAGCGAATGGCCAGAATTTAATAACAACAAAACTATGTAAGTGAAACTTCTGGAACACTGAAATGTACTTTTCTCATCTTGCTGCACTTTTATTGCTTGGGCCTGCTAATTCCTGGGAGTCTAATTCTTTATAATGGAGCACATATTTGGCTGATTCACAGTGTATGGCTTACAGCACTTGGCGTTTGCTAAGACTTACCAGAATGTGGAGTGCAAGTGTTTAAAATGGAAAGGTCACCATTGTGAAAGATCACTACATGGAAAATGAGACTTCAAAATGAAGCATGTCACACTAGTCAAGATGTAGAAACAAGCCAAACGTCCACTGATGGATAAATAGACAAAGAAAATGTGCTGTATACACACAATGGAGTACTACTCAGCCTGAAAAAAGATGGAAATCCTGCCACGTGCTGTAACCTGGAGCAACCTAGAGGATGTTATACCAAGTGAAATAAGTCAGTCTCAGAATGACAAATGTCTCAGCAGAGAAGACAGTGGTGGTTGCCGGGGCTGCGGGAAGGCGGAGGTGAGTTGCTATTCAGTGGGCATAAAGTTTTAGTTGGCATAAAGCAAGATGAATACATTCTTTTTTTGTTGTTTTTTTAAGAAATAGAGAGAAAGAAAAGAAAGAAGGGAAGAAAGAAAAAGAAAGGAAGGAAGGAGGAAAGGGAGGAAGGAAGGGAGGGAGGGAGAGAGAGAAAGAGAAAGAAGATGAATAAATTCTAGAGATCAGCTGCACAGCACGGTGCCGATAGTTCACAACACTGCACTGCACACTCACAAATTTGTGGAGAAGGCAGATCTCGTGTTAAATGTTCTTACCAAAATTTTAGACAGAGAATAAAAACTGCAACGGCTTCATGCTACCTTTTTTACAAAGCCTGATAAAAGAGGACACACACCATCTTGGAAGAAACTGAAAGTCTGTTGAAATAAACTTTTATCTACCAGTAATATATATACATTTATATTTTTTCAACAAATATATATATATTTTCAATATATAAATATATATATATTTTCAACAACCAGTATTGTTGAAAATAATATATTTCTTTTTTCCAATCACATGGGTAATTTGGAAAACTGTTATACATTGAGGAATTATGACGAAGCAGGCACCACGCCCAGATCCTTGTATGCTTATCTCACTCAAACCTCCCAGCAGTGCTATGAAGGGTTGTTATTGTTGTCCCCGTTTCATAGATGAGAAAACTGCTTTTTGGGGAGGGCGAGTAACTAGAGAATGGTTTTATGTTAATAAGATCTTGAAAGAGCTGACTGCCCAACCACGCTCTTCCCAGTCCTTCTCATAGCCACTCCCCAAAAGCCGCCTTCCCCACGACGGAATCAATGGGAAGTTTTCAGCTTTCATTTCATACTTGTCTTATCGACAGCATTTGCGCAGTTAACCGTCCCTTCCTTTCCACACAGTTCCTCGCGTGGCTCTTAGGATGCCACATTTTCCTGAACTTCCTCCTCCCTTAGAGGACACTGCTTTCAGCCTCTTCTGCTGCTTCTTCCTCTTCACGTTGAGATTCACTCAGGCTCAACTCTTGGCCGTCCTCTCCTCTCTGTCCTCCCTCCCTGGTGATCTCACGCCATCTCAGGGCCACAAAATCCATCGATTAGCCAGTGGCTTGTACCTCCAATCAGGACCTTTCCCCTGAAGCACGGGCTCTCACATCCGAGTGTGTACTTGACCACTTCGTGTCCTCAAACTTCCTGTATCCCAAACGGAACCTCTGAAGTTTCCACCAACCTGCTCCACCCACAGCTGTCCAGTCTGAGCTGATGGCAGTGCCGTCCTCCAGCTGGAGTCAACCTTGACTTTTCTCTTCCTCACATCCCACATGCAATCTGCCAGGAAGTCCTGTTAGCTCCTTTCCAAAATACATTCTCACAATCTGATTTCTCACCACCTCCTCTGCTGGCCCCTGCTTGAAGCCCCCATCATTTCTCACCCAAATGACTGCAGTAGTTACCTAACTGGTTTGCCTGATGTCCTCCTTGCCCCACTATGGTACATTTTTCACTGAGCTGCCAGAATGATTTTGTTAAAATATAAGGCAAATAATGATGGTGGTACTCTCAACATCTTCCAATGGCCTCCATTTTTATTGAGAGTAAACGTCAAAATCCCTGAATCTGGTCTTTGTTACCTCTGACTTCACTTCCTATCACTCTCACCTCACTTACTTCCTCTCCCTCCCTCAGGCTTCCTTCTGATCCTCCCACAGCCCCAGCATGAGATGTTTCCTCTGCCTGGAATATTCTTCCCCTTCAAAGCTGTTCTGTCTTCTCAGTGAGTTCTATTGACTGAGCTACCATTCTTGACATGACATCTGGTCTCCACATCTCAACTTTGCATGGCATGATTCAATTTCCATAGAGTAATCTAATATATGTAATTTATTCAAGTTCTTATTAATGTTTGCCCCTCCTGACACACACAGACAAATTTTAAGCATGAATGGTTTCAAATCCAGCTTTGTCACAAGAACAGACTTGACATAGGTCAGGCACCCAATAAATATTTGTTGAATGAACAGCAGTGACAGAATCTCAAATCTTAACTTTTGGATGGTGCGGATACCCTGGGGATTATATAATGAAACCAACTGGCCCTGCTTAGCCTGGATAAAACCATGCAAAACGAAGGTTATCAACTTGTTCTCAGACATCACAACACCATTCTGAAGCAGCAAACTGTTGGCTGAGTCCAGTGACTGACACGTGTTCCTGTGACTTCTGCTACCCCTGCTTCCTGGCGTGCCCATCCTGGGATGCCCATGAGTCTGCCCACTGACACTGGGACAGGTCTGTCTGTATAGTCGCAGAGGGCTTCTGCTCCCTCAGACCTTCCTGGACTCCTGAACCCCATCAAGACACATCTGCCTTAGCTCCCAGTGTCACGGCCCCGTATCCCCTTGTCACTGGTGAGTTACTCTTTCACAATGACAGCTAGCAGTCGTTCTGGGTGCCAGCCCTGCAGCCAGCTTGCTAGGGTATGTATCCTGGTTCTACCTTTTGCCAGCTGCATGACCCTGGGGGTGCAACTTGTGTGCCTCAGTTTTCTTATCCATAAAATAAGGACAGTAGTAATACCTACTCCACGAGATTGTGGAAATTATTAATAAACATAAACAAGCTGGAACATAGAGTAAACCCTTCATATTTGTTAGCTGCTATTAATGTTATGATTATCATCTGATTTCATAGGGGCTTTCAGAACATATTACCTTAATTAAAAGAAATTCTCTACCGAGTGAATTTTGTACATCTTGATTAGCTGATGGAGAAGATATTTTAGTAGAGGTATGATAAAACTAGTTTGTCTTTTTAATCATTTACTTTATGAGCGGGTGGGGGGATCTTGGTGTCAATTAGTTATCTTTTGGAGATTTTCACAGTTAAAAATGTATCTCCTCATTTGAGACCAGCCTGACCAATATAGTGAAACCCTGTCTCTACTAAAAATACAAAAAATTAGCTGGGTGTGGTGGTGCGTGCCAGCTACTTGGGGGGCTGAGGCAGGAGAATCGCTTGAACCTGGGAAGTGGAGGTTGCAGTGATCCGAGATAGCGCCACTGCACTCCAGCCTGGGCAACAAGGGTGAGACTCTGTACCCCCCCCAAAATATATATATATGTTTTGGATGATCTTTAATAACTCAGATACAAAAAGGAGTAATATACAGATTATTTACTTAGGTGCCAGTGTTTTCAATACTAACAGTACTCTGTTGCTGCTGCTATGACATATTTTATTAACAGCTATCATTTATTGAGGGCTCGCTCTATCTAGTCCATGGTAATTTCCCAGTCTTACCTTAACCTATGAATTAAGGATCGATCATTATTCTCATTTCTTTGTTCAGACTCAGAGAAGTTTGGATGAATATCTCATCACATAGTCAATGATGCCTGGCTTAAAAGCTACAGTTTACCCTTAAAGTGTATGCTCTTAGTACTACGTTATTTTATGGAGAAGTCAAAAAGAGAAACACGTTTCTGCTGCTAACAGACTAATACATGTGAGCAGAAGGATGCTATGACAGGATTCTACATACATGGAAAGAAAGATTTACTTCCTGCAAGTCTGGATAATAAAAGTTGACTAATATACTTTCGGAAATGATAAACTGATCCAGTTTTAGTGAAAATAAATATTGAGTTGCAAAGAGATAGATACTGCTTAAAATTAACTATTCCTCACCAAAGCAAACTATAATTGACAATTATTTGAAGAGATTTCACACATGTAAATAAAGTAGAACTAAGTACAAAAAGTTCTAATATGAAAAATATTGCCGGGTGCGGTGGCTCAAGCCTGTAATCCCAGCACTTTGGGAGGCCGACGCGGGTGGATCACGAGGTCAAGAGATCGAGACCATCCTGGTCAACATGGTGAAACCCCGTCTCTACTAAAAATACAAAAAATTAGCTGGGCATGGTGGCGCGTGCCTGTAATCCCACCTACTCAGGAGGCTGAGGCAGGAGAATCACTTGAACTTGGGAGGTAGAGGTTGCAGTGAGCCAAGATCGCGCCATTATACTCCAGCCTGGGTAACAAGAGTGAAACTCCGTCTCAAAAAGGAAAAAAAAAAAAGAAAAAAAGAAAAATATTTCTTTGAAACCTAAACATGCTTTATGTCCTGAAGTAGTCTGCAGTGTCTTAAATGATAACTGACCCATCAATAATTTCTCATAAATACATAGAAGAAAAAAAAAACTTTTAGAACATGATTTTTGGATGAAAGATCTGTATACTTAAATTGAAAGATACCTAGAAATTTGCTGATGAATTTGGTAGGGTTTTAAATCGGAAAATGGTTTCTTTCTCCTTTCCCTTCCTGCTTGGAAACTAACAAAACATCAGGTCGTATAAGAAGCCCAAACCAAAAAAGTTAGTGTCTCTACAGTACGCATGTATTAATAAGAGACTGAGAAGCGTCGTGTACCACCCTGCAGTCTGAGGACTGCGAGGCCACTGCAACGGCAGATTTTTGTCTGTCTCGCTGAAGAGGTATCTTTGCAGTCTCTGGAGGAAGCTCAGGTAGCCGTTGGTGGCTTTGAGGATCCTGGCCTGAAAGGGGAGCTATCTGGATGGAAAGACAGGCTGTGTGTGTCTCATGCGCTGGATGAGGGGGCAGTGAGCAGGACCTTTGGAGAAATGATGGAACTTCGACAGGTTTGGAAAACTGTGGAGTATTAATGGGGCTGCTACTTCCTAGATCCTGGTTATGGGTTAGTTTCAAGGTAGAAATTCTCCGAGTTTGAGAATCATGCCTGTAGTCCTCTTGTAGAACTGGGGTGTTGATGTTAGTGAATGGTGTAGGATCCGTGCTGGAAGCTGCTGGTAATGGATTAGTGATTTTTTGTGTATATGACACGGTTGTGTTAGATTCTTCAGAATATACAATTGTCTGTCTGGAGTCTTCATTGGAATACATAGTTCCCTGAAGAGGTTTTTGGTTAGCAAAGTACTCTGTACAGGAGGGAGTTTGTGTGTTAGTTACTAACTGGTCTAAAAAGACACCTTTTGGGTGACTGGTTATCAAAGAGCTATGAAAGCTCTCTTTTCTGTCTGGTGGAGGGGGTGCCTGGATTGACAAAGGGATCCAGAAAAAGAAAGAAAGTTGAAAGAAAAACAGAAAGAAAGTCAAAGTTAGTCATGAAAGAAACCAGCGTCGACCTTGTCCTTACAGAAGTAAAGCAATGCCACACCTTCTGATTAGGCTATCCATTTTGCTAGCTAGATTGAGTGATCATTTTCATTCCATTTAGAATGCATTTGCCTTTATTATCAATGTTTGCCCTTAGGGGAAAAAAGTGTTTCCAGAGAACACATTACAACATTTGTTCCACCTGTATTCTGGGATATTATGTTAAAAGTGAACATATGTTCTCTTGGCATATTTTTTAATTAGACTTTGAAATATATATATGGTTTATTTAATAGCATTGTTTTATAACAATTTTCATGCCTGTGGCACAATTTTACTAATATCTCCAACACAGAGTCCCTTTAGTTAATATAACAGTTGCATACTCATAGTTATTGAATACATAATGTATCGCTGACCTCATCAGTTTAAATCCAAGGCATCAGCTGTTAGCTTTTAAAGAATTAGAATATATCCTAAAGATTATGTTAGAAACTGATACACTTATATGAGCATAATCAGAAATAAAACAAAATCCTTATTTATTAAACTTTGTTCTCCATGTTGCAAATACAAGCCTGGCAAGCAAACCAAACACAAAAGCAAAAACATATTAAAAATAAAACATGTATTGAAGTATGCACACTATGAAAGGGGCTTTAAATAGCGGTCTAATAACCAGGCCTTAAAATCACATAGTGAAGAGTGCAGGGTTACCTGAGTTGGTGATCTTTTATCTTGTAGGTTTGGTCGAACGCTTCGAAAACCTTTTGCTGCAAGAGAGGAATATGTAGCATCTCCGTTCAGTGTCTCTTGATTGCCATGGTAAGATCTCCAAGCTTTCATTAAGGGAAAACAATTGGATACAAAAATATCTACGTTCACTTAAACATTTTTTATAAAATTTATTTTCATTTCCAAAATTGTAATGTTCTTACTAGAGGCTTAATTTAATATGCATAATAGTATATGAAATTTAAGTTTTACATGAAGCCAGAAATGTGGCTAGGAATATATTTTTTAAAAGTCACAAAATAATAGAATGGTTATTCAGAATATCTTTTCTGTACCTGAGTCTGGTGACTGAGAATCGCGCCCTGAAAAAAAAAGAAATGTTGAAATTAAGACTAAGGTGAAATAAATGAATAACCCAGTCAAAATAACATGGCAAAGACCTATATGCATTATTTTTGCAAACATTATTTCAGTTTTAAAATCTGGGTATGTCAAACATGCCAAAGGGAGGTTTGTACATTTATTTTTACTTTAATTAGAATGATATTCATTAAATATCTATAATATATAAATATCTATATAGCAATCAGTAATTTTTCCCCTCAATAATGTTGCAACATGCAATTTTCATCTGATTATGGCCAAAGATGGATGTATGAATTTCTAAATGTCAAATTAAAGGATCATTGTTTATAAACAGTGAGTGCTTCTCCCAGCGCTAATTCAAACCCCCCGGATCCTTAGCTTCCAATGCCCTGCCGTTAATAAGCACATTTAACTCCCGTGTTAGAGAACTGTATCCTGCAATTTAGTTTTTACTTTCTGATCATTGATAACTTTGTATGGATTTTATCTCCAATTAATTTAAAAATGGAGCAATAAAATGGGTACCATAGAGAAAAATTACTTCAAAGAATTATGCATGAAATGTTTATTGGACCCTACGTCTAAAATTTGTACAATTTAAAATTTTTATTTTGTGTTTTAGAGATGGGGTCTTGCTACTATTTCAAGGGTCTGGCCTTGAAGTAGTGGGCTCAAGAGATCCTACAGCCTCAGTCTTTTGGTGAGCTGGGACTACAGGTGTGTGCTACCAGGCCTGGCCCTGCTTCTAGGATGTGGTGGAAGCAGAAATGATTGAAATTCTTAATCAGTTACATGATGAAGATGAAGAACAGTTTGGCAATATGAAGCAGTTATTAGAATTCTGCTTTGGGACACTCAGGAGTGAGATTTAATAGCCACTAGGGTGCCATCCACTGTGAACCGTGAACACATTTTGGGATTTGGGAAAGGACAATGAAAAATAACTTTTGGGATTTGGGAAAAGGCCATAAAATAGCCCATGGCTACTTTATGACAAGAGAAGCAGCATTAGTAACACTGATTCTATTCGGATTATTTGCTTGAGGACAGGGAGTTTATTTTACGCTTGGTTTGGTAAAACTGAGATAAACAGGAAGGCTGTGTGGCGTGTGCTGGGGACGAGGTAATGGGAGCCAGAGGCTTGGAGACGCCAGGGGTGCAGGTGTGGTGAGAAAGGAGAGGGTGTACCGCACTGGTCTGAAGGACGCTCAAGATAATCTGCCTCTAACTGATAGTCTGTAGGGGGCAGGCTCTATTTCTTCACACTGAAGGCTGTGTTGAAGATGGTGGAGCCACAGGAAACAGTAAGTGGGAAAATCAGAGGACAGTCACTCTAGGCTCAACTGTGGGCCTCTTCCTGGGATCCTGGGCCCAGGGATTTCCAAATGACTCTGTCCCTGTGCCACTGGAAACGCTGGACAGTAACAGTGGCGGGCTCGACTGAAAGGCCTGGCATCACACCGTAGACACGGGTGTGCGGAATTAAGAGAAAGGAGAAAATGGCTCTGGGCTAAAACTTCAGGATGAACCAGTATTTTAAACATATTTTTAAATTGTATTTATTTATTTTTTGTTATACTTTAAGTTCTGGGGAACATGGGCAGATGATGCAGGTTTGTTACGTAGGTATACACGTGCCATGGTGGTTTGCTGCATCCATCCCCCTGTCATCTACATCAGGCATATCTCCTGATGTTATCCCTCCCCAATCCCCCCACCTGCCATCCCCTCCCCTAACCCCACCCCCCGACAGGCCCCGGTGTTTGATGTTCTTATTGAGGATGAACCAATATTTTAATAAAACTTATGTTGATGATTAAAGTCTGCTTTGAAGTGGGTGGTCTTTTAAAGAGACTGAAGTACACATCATTCCTCTTTCTCTAAAATAAATCCAATTATAGATACTTCAAACACCCCATCCTGACTTGCTCTTTTATTACAGTCTTCTATGTGGACACTGTCAAGCATAGCCCTGCTTTCATTTTATTCCTGCAGGAAAGCCTGGGAAAGGGAGAACACCTGTTCTTTGCAGCAGGAAATAGAAAGTATCATGGATCCATGTCAAGTAAAGAGAATATAGGTTACAAAAAAAAAAAAAAAAAAAAGTCGGTCAGGTAAATGGCTTGGCAGATATGCAGGGAAAACAATTTTCCCCCAAAGCTGCCACACTGGTGATGCACATTCACTTGTGAAAAAACAAAGCTAGGACTCTAGGAGTCTGAGTCTTTAATTTCCAGTGTTCTTTAATAGATAGTCGTGGCTTCACTGAAAATCCGCGAATGACTAAATGGTGTCAGTTTTTCCCTTCCTGCTGTTTTCCCTTTCCTGGATATACTAACAGGGTCTTGAAGAACGAAGAGCTCTATGTGCCCTTCACCAGCACTTTTCCCCGTGTCAAGGCACAAACTGGTGAGCATCTGTCTGAGATTTTGTGCAAGACATTCCCGGTTCCATGTCAGGGCTGGAACTGGATCCCCTCAATGGCCCTTTCTACTGCTAAGATTCTAACATGATAGATTTTACATAGCTGTGTTTGTGATACGTGTCACATCATAATCTCTATGCTCAGGTTTTATTTAAATCCCTTTTAACGGATAGGCCATATTGACAAAGTGGCTTAGGACCTTTTGAGGAGGTTTTACATAAAGGCAGTTATATTTTAACAATATTGAAGGCAATTAATATTTATCAATTCTCTTTTGATTCACGTAAAGACACTGTCATATAAGTTCTTTTGAAAGCTACATAGAATGCAGTTGTGCATAATAATGCAGACTTCTTAATTAAAAATACAATGAAAACTTCTTTAGAAAAGGGGGCTGGCCGTGGTGGCTCATGCCTGTAATTCCAGCACTCTGGGAGGCTGAGGCAGTTGGATCACTTGAGGTCAGGAGTTCAAGACCAGCCTGGCCAATATGGTGAAACCATGTCTCTACTAAAAAAAATACAAAAATAAGCCAAGCATGGTGACAGGTGCCTGTAATCCCACCTCCTTGGGAGGCTGAGGCTGGAGAACCACTTGAACCTGGGAGGCGGAGGCTGCAGTGAGCCGAGATTGGGCCCCTCCACTCCAGCCTGGGAGACAGAGCAAGACTCCATTTCAAAAAAAAAAAAAAATGAAAAAGGGATCTTACTTTATGTGTCTAATAGACACAAAAGAGGGCTGCTTTTAAACAATAATGTCCAAAATTCAGTGGGCATCATTCTCTAGGAATCTTACTCCTAGTGATAGAAAACTTAAAACAGCCCAAAGCTGCGTTGTTATACTGAAGATTATTTTGTACTCTTGAAGTGTGAAATCTTTTTTTTTTTTTTTGGTATTTTAATTCTGAAGTGTTAAATCTTTTCTATTAAGTAGGGTTATATGAAATTACGTACATTCCAGTTTTGACTCTCCAAATTGGCACTGTTGATGCAGTGTGCCATTTCCTAGCACGTGCATCAGTGGTTCATGTCTGAGTAGGCTGGGCTGAGATCCTATTTGGTTGAAATGTCAACGCTATTCAGGGTATTGGCATTCCAATTACATGATGGCCCTAAACTCTTAAATTTATTATCTTACTTCCTTCATTCCTGTTTCTCATGGTATCCAATGTAAACACATCTGTAGTTTTTCTAACACCTTTTTGTGTTCGTACACACATGAGCCAATACATAAAAATAGAGATTTGTATCTAGATTTTTTTTAACCAAAATGAGGTCATACCACAAACCTTGCAATGCAACTTGCATTTTCTTTTAACTTAAAATATAATTGAACTCACTAGCCTGGCATTTAAAGGTGGACATTGAAATCCATTTGTGGATTAGAGGCGGTGAACAGAAGTGAGATTCTCCATATGGAAGTTATTTTTTTTTTTCCCCAAGGAAATCTCAGTAGTTTAGAATCAAGTGGCCATAAAGTGAAGAACACCCTGAGTATTTAATCAACTGCTAGATGCACATGTGTAAAAGATTGTGATATGCATAATGAGAATCAAAATTATTTAAAGACTCTCCATCCCTTTCTGACTTCTGCTGTAAGACCCATTACTCTTATAAATAAAAAACAAGTAATCCCCAAACTGCAGCTACTGAGCCAGACAACCAACCAACCAGTTACCAAAGGGTGTGGGTCTATTTCAGGGTCTAGAGGCACAGGGCTTGCTGGCCTCCGCTTGATCTTCTAACAGCTGCACCCCTCCCAATGCAGACGGTGCCTCAGGTACTGTGCCTAACTTAGGTACTGTGGCTTAGGTAGTCATGATAGAGATTTATTATAAAGAGACCACTTGAGTGGATGCTGAAAAGTCATACCCCCAGTGACTTCCTACCTGTGGGTACATGTTAATCTTAATTGGTCAAGATTTTGACCTATATCTATATATCTATATCTATCTATCAATCTATCTATCTATATATTAGAAGGGTCTTTGCTGATTGGATTAAAGGACAGTAAAGGTCTCTTTCAAAACTAATGTTCTATCATTCTGTTTGCAACTTTTGACAAAGAATCTAATTAATGAAGAGTTGGGTTCCTACAAATCCCTCTTTTCATCCTGTATCCCTGTACTCCTACCCCAGCAGTTTTTAGGTTAACCCCCTAAAATAACCTATGAGTTATCCTAATGAAATATGTTACTTAAGTCCATGCGATAGCAAAAACTTAAATAGTTATTAACACTTGCAGTTACTCAACCTATTTTTGGTAAGTGACTGCTGTTTTTAATTACACATGTAAAATGTTTCCTACAAGATCTCATTTTCCTTTGCTTTTTACGTTTAGAACAAAAACAGTCAGAAGAGCTAGAAGCCATTCAAGTGTGACGTTCTGTGAGTTAGTGATATTATACCTGCAGCCAATAGGTTTGGAGAACTTTGCACTCTCTTCACAGATGTTAGCGTGACAGACATGGCAGCACGTTTGCGAGCAGACCCACCACTATCTGGAAGCAAAAAAATGACATAGCAGAGGCCAAGGCAACAGAAAAAGCACATGCAATATCATGCGTTTTAAGTGAAATGTGCCAGACATCCATGAGATAGATAAACAGTCAGAGTCGGCAACCACGGAATGCACCTGCCAATTTCACACCTCCCTCGAACTACAACAAACAAAACAAGATCAGGGATCCGCCTTAGAAATAGATGTCACTGTTTTCGTGAAAGCATGGAAGATTTAATACTTAACATTTTATGGTTTTCCTTGTGAAAACTCAGGCACAGAACTCAATTTTGTTTATACCACTTAAACTCAATTTAATCTAACTCTATAAGCATTGGAGCTGGCTTTTAGAGTCAAGGATTAGCGCTATTTCAGGATTAAGGGCTATGGTACAACACACTTTTAAGTTAATATCATTTAAGTTTTACCATGTTCTATCTGTTAGAATTCCCAAAGAGCGCCTGAATAATTCTCGCAGTAAAAATTATTAGTGACACAGATATGATACATTTTTTTAGAATTCATAGAGGAACACACGGCATTATGGAATGTTCATTCTTTCTGTAGTTATTGTTAGTTATGGAAATAACTAGCCTAATTAAAATGATATATATGACACTGAAATGACTATGTTTAAAGAAAGTAGTGTATTACTTTTACTTTTTAAATTTTTATGTTTAGGGCCGGAGTCCTGCTCCGTCACCCGGGCTGGAGAGCAGTGGTGCCATTGTAGCTCACTGCAGCCTTAAACTCCTGGGCTCAAGCCATCCTCCTGCCTCAGCCTCCTGAGTAGCTGGGACCACAGGCACACACCAGCGTCCCTGGCTAACTTTTTAACTTATTGTAGAGACATGGTCTTGCTATGTTGCCCAGGCTGGTCTGAAACTCCCTGGCTCAAGTGCCCTTTCCACCTTGGCCTCCCATTGCAAGCATGAGCCACCACACCTGGCCTCATTTATTGCTTGTATACTTTTTAGCAATATGTGTACTATGACCTAATATTTAAACTTGTGCAAGTCACACTGTGAAGTAAAATACGTGTAAGTGCATCAGCCATTTTAATGTGCTGTGAGAAGTTTAGACTTCTAAATTTGGAAGAGAAGTCTTTCGAAATGGGAAGGCCAATGTTCTATTTATGACTAGCTTCAAATTCCATTCTTAGATTCCTCTGTAATACGGCATGTGCAATAAATAGTTTTGCCCATTCCTCTCATTCTGCTCATTAAGTAAAACAAAATTAAATCAAATCTTTTTGAAAGTTATAAAAAAAGACAACATAACCACCGATATGGTAATATAATCATTATATATTGTCACATTCCTATTTTTCCTTTTTCTTTGTTTTCACAGGGAAAGCATCAAGTGTGTTTATTGGACATGAGAGAATTTAGATTAGTAAAGATGCTTGGAAGCATGATTTGAATGAATTTTTCATAAAAATTATAAATAGTAAGACTAATATTAGAACTTAAAATCAGTGGAGTGATTATTATAACAAATTTAAGTTCTTTAAACTATATGTTTAAAATAACAATTTCTTAATGTAGAAAATCATTTAACCAGAAAACCGACTTGAAAGAATCTTAAAGGAAAATGAGCCAAATCAATCAAAGGTTATAATTAAGAACCCAAAGAAAGTGACACAAATGGTATAAACAACAGAAGTTTCCTTCAGGAGAGGCTCCAAAAGGAACTGAGGATTTTAGCAGACTCAGCAAACTGAAAGCAGCTTAGAGACAAGTGTGTCTGATAAGATGGAGGTAATGTTATTGCTTCCAGGAGCTGTGAACGGGCCTAAAGTGGTTGTGTAGTTAAAGACGTTGAAAGTGAAAACTGACATCACTCTATGAGTGATTATATTTCCTAGTTCTTTTACTTCTGAACATCTAACAAGCGTGTAGATGAAAAGAGAAAATTCCAGAATGAGAAGATCCAGGGTCACAGGTTAAACCTATCGTGTTCAAACTGTGGACTGAGGTGTCCTGGGCTACCCTGGTGAATTCACAAGGGTGTTGGGGTATCTTTCTGGCTTTTAAGGAAAACACTGTGCTGACTGCATGTGCTGTATTCCTTTTGATGACATCATATTTTTGAAAAACTGGGATCTTGATAATTGCTATGATAAAAAGCAAGTACCCTCTGAAGAACATTTTATTTATTTATGTTTAGAGAAAGGGTCTTGCTCTGTTGCCCAGGCTGGAGTGCAGTGATGCAATCACAGCTCACTGGGCTTGAGCTGATCCTCCTGCCTCAGCTTCTGATAGCTGGGATTACAGGCACATGCCATCGTGCCCAGCTAATCTTTAAAATTTTTATGGAGATAGGGTCTCATTATGTTGCTCAGGCTTGTCTCCAACACCTGGGCTTGGGTGATCCTCCTGGCTCAGCCTACCAAAATGCTGGAATTACAGGCATGAGCCACTGTGCCCGTCCAGCCTGTAAAACATTTTAGATCAGTAAATGAGAGTGGCCATGTACAATCTCATTCTAAGATCTGAGAACTTTTTCAGTGTGCAACAGGCACACACATACCATTAGTAAGTAATTCTTGTTATAAAGAATGAAATAAAATTATTTTCTTTCAATTTATATGTATTATTTTGTCAAATGGCTTCTAAGTCATCAAAACAAAATACTTATTAAGTAATTACTAAGTTATTAAGTTGTTAGCCCCTAACTACTTAATAAGTAGAAGTGTTAGGTATTTTTGGCCTACAAGCACTATGAAAAAAATTACTGAGGCATTAAAAGTCAGTGTAAACCAAAAAAGTTTGAGAATCTTTGGGTTAGACAATTTATGTATTTTAGGAAGTGCTAAGTCCTAGATTAAATAAATGGAGACTCTGTCTTTAATAAAGTTTAATGAAGAGCTGAATTCTAAAACTTGAGGCTTTTGTAAAATTGCTGGAACAGAATGTTATATTCTATTTCCACTTTCTTATATATTGATACTTTCTGATGCTCCTGGAAGATATGTTTAAGATCTTAAAACGAGGATGCGACCTTTCCTGTGCCAGTTTATCCTTAAGAATCCTAATGCTGGCCTTGCCTTTTGTCCTCATTAATGACCTGCAGCCCTCCTGGGCCACTCTTCCCCTGAGCTGCAAGATTCCTGGAAGCTGTTTCTACTGCTAGAAACCACTCATGTGGGTAAATTACACATGGAGAATTATTTGATGTTTTTTTCTCCTTTTTTCAATAGCTAAGATATGTGTAAGAAAGTAATGGGTTAAAAATTCTAAGAGTGGACATATAACATGTTTTGTATATTTTCTATATTATTTAGACACTTTAGCATGAAAAATTAGCCACATTCCCCATGGCTAGTTTATTACATATTGATTAAAAGCAAACACTTAACATAAAAGAATGCTTTTTAACCGTAGTGACAGACACATGAAGATTTAAATGGGAATATATCTCTTTATTGATTGATAAAAAATATTGATTGAATTTAGCTTATCCAATATATCAATCATTAAAAAGATATATTCTGATTTAAATGATATATTGATATATATATCAATAAAACTGGCCTGCATTATCTATCTATATATTATCTATCTGTATTATTTATCTATCCGTATATTATCTGTATTATCTATCTATCTATCTATCTATCTATGAATCTATCCATCTATCTGTAGATAAATAGACAAAAGAAGTCAGAAGAGCTAGAAGCTGTTTTTGGGATGAGAAAAATAAGAACTTGTGAGGCCACTTTATTCATCTATCTGTTATCTATGTATCTATGTATTTATGTTTCTATCAATCATCTATCTATCTGTAGATAATGCAGGCCAATTTTATTTACTATCTCTTTAGGAAGAAATTCCTAATTCATTTTGTAAACACAGTCACAATGCTTTCAACTTCCTAAGACAATGTGTGTATGTGTGTATTAAAATATATATATATATATATTTATATATATATATATATAAATATATATATTTAAGAGTGGTATGTTTTTATAAAAATATTATTTTGGAATTTTGTGCAAAAGTTTTTAGTCACTTTTGATCAAATTTGTGCATAAGTTTGAATACCATATTTTCCAATCATTATATATAAGCGGAAGTTCATCCACATAAGCAAAATAATCCTATTCAAATTGCATCCCATCCAGAGTCAAGCTTACTCCTTAGAAATGAGAGGATGCTTTAGAGGGTTACATTTGTGCTGCTAAGCAGTAACTTGGCTCAAGTACCTTAGTGACTTAAACAAATTTACAAATTTCTGTGTGCTTACTTTGCTATGAGGTATTGAATTATTTGAACAGGAAGGGCAATTATTGAAGGCAGTGCACATGAACACAGTCTATTCAGTATATCATGTATGCAAATCTCTGTCATAATAGGGTTATAATAAATAGGAAAATCAGCACTCAATGAAATGAGGAGTACTGGGAAGTTATGATCAGCTTAAGTCTACAGGGAGACGTCTTGGAAGGATAAGAAAATATCACTTCCTCATATGGAACTTCTGCTGGAATGACTTTGTAGCTCCAAAACACGGCTGATGCTAGTCCAGCTGTGGGCTCCACGTTCTATTTGCTTTCCTCCCTCTCCTTTACTTAATAATATTTTCTACTTTGTTCCCCATGTCTGATCTGACATCTCCAATCTTCAAGATGCGTTTGCATGATGTGTTTGCAGGGCTGTAACTTCTCTTGATTGCTAAGCCTTCCTTGTGTGTTTTGACTGTCTCCAGAATCCTCATCTTGCCCGTTGTCCACATCTGCAAGGTGACTGCATCCTCAAGAGCCTGCCCACCCAGCCTTCTCAGGGCCACTGTGGCACCTGGAACGTGACGCAAGGCTCTGCACTAGACCTGGGGATTAGGTATTGGTCCTCGCCAGTGGTTGGTAATCCTCCTTGTCGGCACTTTGATGCAACAAGAGACAGCAAAAAGGCAACCAGCTGGACATGAGAGAACATCTTGGGCCATCCCTTCTACTCTGCCATGGGGGGACGGCTCAAACAACTTTCCAGTGATCACTTGCGGATAGGAAACGGTATCATTTAAACACAGGTTACAAAATTTCAGTGAGAAAGTTGTTTCTTGAATTAGTTAATACTGTATATTTCAAGGTCGGGGGAAGGCAAAATTAGAAGCCAAATCATTTCTACTGTGGAAAAAAGTTCATATGTACCTAGCATGTGTTACGAACACTTCTACAGTTAAAATGTCTACGATGCAGTTCAGAGGCATGGTTGTTGAGCTATTTGGAGATACTGTTCTCACATCTAAACATATAATGCTTACAACACTATGTCAATTGTGACTATAGGTTAATTAAGCTGATTTTGTATAAAGCTTTGGCATTCAATCTGCTGACTGCTTCAACATAAAGAGTTTATAAAACGGAGAAGTTTAGATATTTTCTCCTAGAGCAGCTTGCCTTTGAATTTAACTTATTTTCAAGTGAGCGATTTCAAAAGTACACATACAAATGACATACTACCTCTTCCTATTGTTTATGGGTGTTACTTTTAACATGTGATTAATGAAAAAGGAAGTAGGAGCAAGTAACAGAACAGAAAATTCGACTTTTGATGGCTATGAGGGTGGAGCACAAATACAAAGAAGAAAGTTATGACTCTAGGCTACGTACCGAATCGGAATTCACAATCACATTTAGGATCAGCAGAGTGCTAAACTAATGATTTAGGGCCAACACGATTTTTAGAGAGCAAGGCTAAGAGAGTTTAAAACTAACAGACAGCATACCTGTGTTCATTTTGACCTTGGAGAGTTTGTTATTAAAGTCTTCAGTTTTCCTGTAGGAAAAAAATGGTGCATAATTTGTTCACTAGCACGTGGAACAAAATATCATAAAAGTGTGTTTTGTTTTTGTTTTCGATGTACCTGTAAGTTAATATCACATTGTCATTGTTTAAATCAGTGTTTAATAAGGTAGGAAGAATTTATGATTCTATTCATGTTAAACTGTTATCATTGGTCCTATGATCATGAGACAGATCATATTCTGTTTTCATGCTTTTGTTGAATAGTTAGCATTAATGGATGAAAATGGAGACGTTTTGTGCTCGTTTGCTTGTTTTTTAGAGAGACGTTGCGCTCTGCTGCCCAGGCTGAAGTGCAGTTGATGTGACCCTGGTTCACTGCAGCCTTGATCTCCAGAGCTCAAGCCATCCTCCCACCTCAGCCTCTCAAGGTGCTGGGATTACAGGTGTGAGCCACCGTGCCTGGCTGAGCTCTCATTTTTAAAAATTAAATTTCTTCTGCAAATATTTATACAAATAGTTTTTGTTCTCTAAGCCTGAAAGGATTGCGTGTTAAGTGTCCTCTTCCAGAATTTTAAAAGCTACCCTGGCACTTTAAAATCATTGCCTTACATGTGCGGGTCATTTTACTACCGGGGAATATGTAATGAACGCAATGCATATTTTGAGGACACTGTCAAGAAAGACGAGATTCATCTCTCTCTTTTTAAGACACAGGAAATAGACGGTTACTACAAACCCCATTTCTGCATTCGTATTGAACACCGACTTTTCCCAGTGGTGTTGGATGCATAGCAATTGGGATGAATTCACTAGAAATGGTTGGCAGAATGGACATGTCTCAGAAAAAAGTTTTAAATATTGCGTATCATCTTATGACATGTGAGATGACTTAGTTCTTTCTCTGGCATATTTTCTTAGCCCATTTATGGAGTTTCTTATTTATCCGTAACCCGAGACCAAAGAGAAAAGACGCACTGACAAGGAAGGAAATCTAAGTCCAAGACTTCCCTGCGAGAGATGTCTGACCCTGGCCACTTGGCCTTTGCTCCCGAGTTGTTTGGTATCCACAAGAACTCCCCAACACAATGCAGTCACAGCTTCCAGGCACGTTAGTACTGCCACATCTGAACATTTTCAAGAATTTTATTTATTCCTTTTGGATGAATGAGGAGGAGTTTGAAATGAAATCACTGGCATGATTACCTGTCAAGAAAGACTTTTGATAAATATATTTTTCTCAGCGTCTAAAAAGAGCAGCCAGTGAGCCTCCTGGCTTTCTTGTTTTTGCCTGCTAAGGTTCTCACCCTCTTCTCCCTTCTGACCATTTCCTCTGCTCAATTCGACAACTATTATTTTCTTTCAGTGTGGCTATCGGGGTTCAGCTCTTATGGAAAGCCTGGCTTTGTTCATTACTACTGCAAAATTATAATAATAAAATCAAAATGTGAACATTAGCTAAATATGATGGTACCCTTCTCCCAGTGGGGGCAAAATGCTGAAATAAAATAACATAAAAAAAAGCTTACATCCTATGAAATATAATTATAAAGTAAGATTTTATATATATATAAAATCCTTCTCATTTTGCTACACACACACACACACACACACACACACACACACACACATGCATATTTGCCTAGATTGAATTACTAATGCCTCAGGCCTCGAATACTAAATTAATGCACATTTAAAATGGGTAACATCACAATACTGATAATCACCTCAATATATGTTTTTAGAGCTATAAGCTGAAAACAATATAGATGGTATCCTTACTACGCAGAGTTTAATTTTTGTGTAGTCTGACTGTGTCCAGTGTCATAGCCGTGCCCATCTGCCCCGGGCCTTCGCTGCAGGTAGGGAGCAGGACAGGAGCCATGCTTAGCGCGGCCGGGCTGGAACTGAGTTCCCTCACTGCTGCAGTGAACGTCACAGGAACATTTCACGGGCCAACAGACTTTGAAAAATGATTGAAGGGAATTTTATGATGATAAATTTTGTCTCCTATTCTTCCGTGCATGTAACTAAACAGGTACACTTCTTTTTTTGTTGTTGTTGTTGATTTTGTTTTTCTCCAGAATTAACGTCTAAAAATGTGGCATATTTCCAAAAACTCAACTTGGTAGCCTTAATACCGCCTGTATTGAAGGATGCTGATGAAGTCAGGGAAGAGGGCCGTGGCCAGCACAGGAGCTTTGGGAAAGCGCTTTCAAACGTATTTATTTTAGTCTCTCAGTAGCAAAACTCCTAATATGTTAACCTTAAATGGACAAAATAAATGGAAAAGAAAAGCCCCAGGGGATGTCTGTGACCGAGGCTGAGGCAACTTCTAAAACAAGAAGGGATAAACAATCTCCAGAAAATGAGGATTATAAGGACTTTTCCCAAATTTGACTTCTCCACTCCTTTTGGAACCAGGCAACCCTGTCCTTAAAACTGCTTAAGGTTTTAAAGCTGCATGAGGAAGACAGTATTTGGGCTAGAATAATACTGACTGACAAAGAAAACGTCAAACACGGCTAACTCAGAAGACAAAATCTGCTGGTAGACAATAATAATGCTTCTGTACCGAGTGAGAGAACTAGTTACCGACATCTATTGTTTGAATTCAAATGCTGATATTTACAGACCATCTAACACTCAAAAAGTAAAACAGGAGTAACAGGAACAAAGAAAGGCGCCACAAATCCTTGACGTTTTCATCTTTAAAGTGTTGTATCCTGTTACTTATAAATGTAATTTGTGAGGTTTTTCAACTTCCCATTGTTTTAGATGTCAAAATGTGAAATGACTAACTTCCTAATCAGGCAAGACATTTTCCAAGTTGTTAAAAGAAGAATCCCAGTGACTGAGCTCTCAAGAAGAATCTGAAACCGAAAGGCTTCTTGGGTGACTAATGAAAATGCGTGATTCTACTTCCATTATTTGTGCTAAGCCCATTAACAAATCCATGACTGAGAACTCTCTTTAGACAACTCAAACTAAAGTGAATTTAATCTCTTTTGTTCTGCTCGGAAAAAGTGTCCTTGATTGTACTTACATAACAAGCACATATTATTCTGGAAAGCATCAAATTCCTAGAGTGTTTGCATGCTACTAGAAAATAGTATTTCGAGTATTCTCTTAACTTGGAATTGAACCAGGGACGAGACTATGAGAACTGAGCATTACATGGAGATTACCTCGAGCCTCAGTAGACTGTCCACAGAGCAAAGAAATATCTGAACATTAAGGTGTCGACATGATTTCAACAGGTGCTATGGGGTTGTATTTACTTTTGTCAAAGTTTCATATCAAGAGCAACTTTCTATGTGTCCTGATTTGTGACCACAATGGATTTGTTTTACTTATGGGTTAGAGTAGCCTCCATTGCCAAAACACATATGGCAAAGGATTGTGTCGATTGTTCAGGGAAGGGCTGTTAACAGCATGACTTCGGGTCTATAGTCTTTTAGCTCTGCTGGAATTTCTTTGGATTATCAGATCTCATTTTTCCGCAGGAATCAGAGCAGCCTGTGTTCTCAATATGCATAAGAGAATAGACTGGGCTATTTAACTTTTGAATAAGGATCCCAAGGAGTTTGATCCTGCGTGGGCATTAACATACCTTTGTGCCTGTTGTCTTGCAATTCTGCTTGAATTGTTTTGATCACCAGGCACGCCATTCTGAAGAGGAGCAGAGACAAAAATCCTTTCCCCAGCTTTGGCCAAGAATTCTGTGTAGGTCGTTTTATTTTTGTAGACCTGAATTTAAGTACCAAGACCATGTATGAAACTAGAGGACTGAATTTTTGCTCAGTTAATGTGAGGAGTTGCCCTAAAGATTTTCCACAGACTAATCTTAAGCCAATACATTGCTATGGTTATTTTGAAATTCGTCTATTCACACTTCATATATTATTCAAAACACATTGATGTTTAAGTAGTAAGAAAACATTGCAGGATATTAGTTTTTTAATAAAGAGATGTATTTTAAACATGAGAATAAAAATATAATCATATTAAAATTATGCATCAGATTTTAACTTGAATTTACTTATTTATTTTGAAATGGGATTATATGTAGCACTATTTTTGGATAAACTGCCCTAAGTGATCAATGCATTAATGCATCTCTATCTCTGACTGTGGTAAAATAAGAAGTATTCATAAATGCCAAATGATTTCACCTTTCAATTATAGTCAAATGACTTCATTCAGGTTGACATTCATCTTCACCTATCTTTCCTATATGTCAACATGCCTCTTTGAAATAATTACAAGAAAACTCTAAGTTATTTATTTTGTGAGTTTAGAAACTCACCTCAACCCGAGTAGGTGGCACACAAGTCAACAGCAATGGCGTGACTGTCCGTGCTCATAAGAACACTGAGTTCCTCCCAGAATCCCTGTGCTAACAGGGCCTAAAAATGTTCCTTAGTATTCAGGAGCCAATTTACCCACAGCATCTATTTATCTATGCTGAGGTCAAAACACATTCAACATCAATTCTAGGAATAAGGAGAAATTACCACAAATAGTAAAGAAACAAATGTAAATGAGGCTGTTGATAATTTTTTAGGAGAATATGCCGTGTTTGTTTTAATTAGACCGAATGTCCTGATACTTGGAAAAATTTCCTGAATAAAGAGCCCTCACTACATGTCTTCCAAGGAAACCAGCAGTTTTCTTTTTGAGACTTTACAATGTAAGTTGTTCAAAATGCTTATTAGTCTTCCCTAAAGGCTTTACTGATTAGAAGTTGATCACCTGGTAAATGATTCTTTCTGATGTCATTCCGAAGTCTCAAGGTTGGTGAATCACTCACCTTAACTATTTGCTTTAAATGGTCATGTGACTTAATATTGCTCCAGAGCCTTCCTTTCTTTTCTTTTTTATTAAGATGGAGTCTCACTCTGCTGCCCAGGCTGGAGTGCAATGGTGTGTTCTCAGTTCACTGCATGCAGCCTGTGCCTCTGGGTTCAAGTGATTCTCTTGCCTTGGTCTCCCGAGTAGCTGGGACTATAAGCATACACCACCACACTGTA